TGACATTGTGATGATATGAATTCCAACAGATGAGGACGAGAACAAGGCATCAAGATCCAAGGGGAATTTTTAAATGTGTATTCAGGATTTACGTCTTATTCTCAGGATCATGTCACTGCGAATTACTGCCAGAGAAAGAATCCCTCGAAATATTTTGTATTCGCTTAATTATTTCATTTTGACTTTGCTTTTCCATTTTGAATCTTTGTAATTAATTTATTTATATTCTGAATGAAAAAATTTGGACTGAGGAGAACAAATAGATTCACGAGTCCATTAATTCTTTAATGAACAAGAGCAGCTCATGAGGATGAAAGAACAATTGTTGACATTGTGATGATATGAATTCCAACAGATGAGGACGAGAACAAGGCATCAAGATCCAAGGGGAATTTTTAAATGTGTATTCAGGATTTACGTCTTATTCTCAGGATCATGTCACTGCGAATTACTGCCAGAGAAAGAATCCCTCGAAATATTTTGTATTCGCTTAATTATTTCATTTTGACTTTGCTTTTCCATTTTGAATCTTTGTAATTAATTTATTTATATTCTGAATGAAAAAATTTGGACTGAGGAGAACAAATAGACTCACGAGTCAATTAATTCTTTAATGAACAAGAGCAGCTCATGAGGATGAAAGAACAATTGTTGACATTGTGATGATATGAATTCCAACAGATGAGGACGAGAACAAGGCATCAAGATCCAAGGAGAATTTTTAAATGTGTATTCAGGATTTACGTCTTATTCTCAGGATCATGTCACTGCGAATTACTGGCAGAGTAAGAATCCCTCGAAATATTTTGTATTCGCTTAATTATTTCATTTTGACTTTGCTTTTCCATATTGAACAGTTAGAAATTATTCTTCCCTACTTGTAATAAAATCAGTCATCACAAGTTGATGACATTTTAACGATGTGAATTCCAATGAATGATAAAGAGAGGAAGGCTTAAAAATCCAAAGGGAATTTTCAAAAGTGCATCCTCAAACATTTTCCAGTTCAACAGAAAAACTGACAGAAAAAAAAGGAGTCATCAAAAAGAGTGAGAAAAAAATACAAGGGCTGGAGAACTGATCGGATGAGGTGGTATGGAGTGGGAGATGGGGGTTGTCGACGCCGGCAGTTTTACACCGTTAACAATGCGCCACTCATCGGGTCCCCGGATGTATTGTGCGTGCCAACCACCAACGAGGGCTTCCCGATAAAAGAGGCAAAACGAGAGAGGAACAGCCCAGAGACGAAACTTTCACTGCGGCATGAGAAACGTGCTTTTGTGAATGAAAAAAAAAATTTAAAAAAAAATGAGAAAAAAATCAACGTTCGAGTACCACCGACGACGCTCATTCTGTCCGTGTGTAACCGAACATTTTCCGCCTTTTCACTTCGCCGTTTGTACTCTTTGTGCCACTTTTTTCCTCTTGATTAAGGGATCTAAAAATTCACTTTCATGTACTCATTCGTGATTTTAATTACGCAGCTGGGGGTAGTTACATTTGGTTTGATTACTCATGTTGTTGGTAGAGGGATTGGAATTGGGGGGAATATTTTTGGAGGAATAAATTGGGGAGATGAATACAACAGAATTTTTACGATGTCGAATGTTTGAAATGTGCATGGATGAATGGAATGGTAACAATGGCGATTTCTCAGTGCATGTTGATGATGAGAAAACGATGCAATTGTGGGGAGTGAAGATACTTTCGGAAGATTAAAGGGATCTTTGAGGATTTGATGAAAATTATTGGCTACAGTTTACAATGAATTTTTCAGATTTCGGAGTAAAACTCTTGGCGAAAATACCGGAAATTGGAGAAAATATTCTGTAGTATTGGAGACGAATGGAAAATCTCAGCCAATTCTATTGATAAAATTGGTCTCATGTCACGGAATTACAGAGGACTTCCATAATTCCTGGATATTTTTATATAAATATTGAGATTTCTACTAAAAATATTGGTCTATTCGTTGATAATTTTTAATGGATTCTTTTCTAAGGACTGACGAAGCCAATTTATTTCTCCAATTCCCCCTTATTCTCAAAATAATTCATCAAAAGGGGAGTGAATTGCGGACGCCTTAATTAAAAAAATGCAATAAATATTAAAACCTAGTGGAAAAAAAATTGATTTCCTTCTCGTAAATTTTCTTTTTCCATCACAGGAATAACCTTTTGCTCGTTTGCACATAAATGAGAGAACTTCCGGCTCTTCCTACTCCCATGACGTTAAATTCAAAACTCTAGTACCGAGAGTTGACTTCAAAGTCGGTTATATACACCGAGAGTCGAGTGGTGGATGAAAAAAAAAACTGGATTCTTCTGATACTGCGGAGGGGAACTGAGACACTGGGTGACTCATTGGCCATAAAAACTGTTCCACCCCTCGTCTTTGGGCATCCGCAACCCTAGTCGGATATCTTTGAGGATTACACGACTGCAGATGCTTAGGAAAAATCGAGAGGAAATTTCGGAGCGTTTTGTAAGCCTCAGATGTGCAATCGAATCCGATCATAAATTCCGAATCCACTATTTTTCACAGGCATTACAAGATTCAAATGGTATGAAACCACAATTTTTGGAATTAAAGTTGAAGAGAGAAAAAGTGAAAAAATTTCGATTAAAAAAATTTGTGATAATTTTTTTTAGAAACGATGGGATTTGATGTTTTTTTGCAAGTTGAGGGAAGAATATTACAAATTGAAATTATTTATGCGAAAGAAATATACTCGCGACAACTAGATTTCTAAAATTTCACAAAAAACTCCATCTAAATTCTTGTCTGAAACAAATTTGTTCAGTAGAAATCAATTTAATTGACGCAAATGATTCTTCTTCTCAGTGTAGATTTTTTATTTAAAAAATTTCAGTATCTGCCGTATCAAGAAATATAAGGAGAAATTCCTAAAAGAATGTCAACTGAATGAATTTTGCAAGTAAATCAAAATTTCCTTCTGCGAAAACAAGAAATCATGTGAATTTCATTAAAAGTTCAGCTTTAGTTCCCGGAAAATTAAAGTTTGAAGGCACAATTTTTCGCATGAAAATTGTAGAAGAACGTGAAAAAAATGTTAATTAACAAAAAAAGAAGCAGAAAACTCCATCTAAATTCTTGTTCAAAACAAATTTCGCAGAAATCAATTCAATTGGCCCAAAAAATTATTTTTCTCCGTACAAATTCCTTACTAGAAGAATTTCAGAATCTGCACTGTCCAAAATTATCACCAGAAATCCCCAAAAGAATGCCAAATGAATGGATTTCCCAAGCAAACAATAATTTCTCTTCTCCTAAAGAAAAAAAAATCACGTCAAGTTCATTAAAAGCGCAACTTCATTTGCCCGAAAATTAAAGTCTGGAGGGACATTCCCCCAAGCCTCAAGCCTCAAGACGTGGGGTATTTTGAAATGTCAATAGCCGGCGTGTGCGGACGCACGCATGAGCAGCCCCTTTACAAAACAGAGACAGACACGCGAGAAACAGTGGCAAATACCGGATGCTGTAACCTGTCGTTTCATCCTCCAGCACACCCTGTCATTATATCATTACCCAGCCCACAAAATCGTGGGGAAACACAAATCCAAGTTCGGTTGAATGCATCCACCCCTCCCACCGTTAAAATTCCGGAGGTGAAGAATAAACTCCAAACTGACTCGAGACTCGATTTTTCACTCTCAAAAAGTACTTGACCATCCTCTTAACTGGCCTGGATTCCATCTAACGAAGTTTCCTTGGAATCCAGCGCGAGGATTGCATTCACAATGAATTTAATGAGTTTCATTCTTCGAATGAACTATTGCGTTTTTATGGTAACGATTAGGGATGCAAAATGACGGTAATTTTTTCCATGCGCACGGAGAGAAATATTCAATAAAAATTACGTATCTTTTCCGTGATTCCGAAATTATACGAAACTGTCACGGAATTTTTCTGGAGCGTTCCGTAATTTTTATCTGAATATCCTGTGAAAAATTACGATACCGTCACTTAAATTTTCTGAGTCGATTCCGTAATCGGTGAGTGAATTGTGAGTTCCGTAATTTTTACTGAACATTTCTGTCATTTCTGTCTGTGTGTCAAGTCAGCCATGAATTTACCGTTTTCTCGTGATGCAAACAGACCGGTCAATTTACCCAATTGTCAGTAATTTTTTATCGTTGTCCTTTATACTAAAAAATTGTCGATGCATTTTTTTTATTTTCTTCATAATTTTTTAAAGAAATTTAAAGAAAATTATGAATAACGAGAAAGCGGAGAGCGAAAATTTAGTGAATATGACTTTAGTCTGGAATTGCAAAAAAATCAGAAAAGTTTTGCAGCACTTTTCTTATTTATTATTATCACAGAATTTATAAAGCTCAATTACAGAAAGACAGTCGTATAAAATTTTTCATTGGATGAATGACCTCGGAAATCTTCTCATTTGAGAACTAATTAACTCTCAAACATATGGGGCCTGAAACAGGCTGCTACTAAAATTTGGAGAGCTTTGGGGTCCAAGGCTCAACCCAGGGGCCTGTACTGATAGAAAGGATTAGTTATTATTAACGAATGGATTAGGTTGGAGGCTGAAGTCTATTCGGTCTCCCAAATGTTCATTCGTTAATAGTTAACAAATGCATACTTGACTCGACTTTCACCTTTCAAACGAACCATTCATTAACTATTAACGAATATTCATTTGTCATATTCAACTCTACCATTCGTTAATAGTTAACGAATCTCATTTGTAATAAATAAATGAATCAGTCTATCAGTGTAATTTTGAAGGAACACGGTAACATGACGAACGATATGTGTCGCGCTCTATCTAGATCTAAAATGACCATAAAGATATTCTTTAGTCATTTTTGTGACGCGAAATTCCATCACTTTTTTTCTTACCAAAAATAGTCAGCAATTGGCCTTCGGTCAGTGACGTGTAATTGACGTGTAAAATCCGTCACATCCCTAGTGACGATGTACGATTAGTTATTGAGTAATTTATTTGTTATTCTTACCTATCGATGAAACCATCCCCGTCTCCGTCGCAGGCCTGGAAGAGCTTTCTCACTCTCTCCTCGTCGCAAATGGAGCCCGCCTCACTCTCAGCATCCGCTGTCTGTGACATCCTTTAGGTGTCCTCTGTATCAGCCATATCATCGAATCCATGCACAATGAATTGATACCCTCGGTCACTTATTCTCTCAACTCTCTGGTTTTTAGAAGGGCTAATGTGTTAAGTTCTCTGGCACTCCCTTTCCATAAATATTTTGTCGAAGGGAAACAAAGTACGGCAAAAGACCTATTTTTGGCGAGTCTGGTGGGGGGACCGAGTGCCTTTTCACTGGGGTTTTTCGGCATTGAGGGATGCATTCATCGTGCACTCACTGATTCTTGGGGGGATGATTTTTGGAGGATTGTTGGAGCTGTCTCTGGAGTTATTGCACAGATTTTATTCGGTCTCGTTACACTGTTTACACTGCACGACACGAGGGAAGCCATAGTGTGATATACATTACGGGGGAGTTGGGAAATGCGGCGTTTTGCGGAGGCTATGGGTGCGTGCCATACGCGAGGCCGGGTGTCAACGAGTCCACTAACCCTAACCTAAAATGCTAAACTCTCATCCCTCCAACGGGAATGACGGAGGGCCATAACAACTATCGATTTTTTTTCCACCCGCATGCGAATGGGCAAAGGGAGAGAGAAGTCAAAATACTTTGACAGTATTCGCCATCTTGAAACTTGTGACTCTCCACTGCCTGTCTGTGCCTGCCGCTCGCATCGCACGCTTGGACCGAATGTTTGTGCGGGTTCGGAATGGCGGGGTCTGGCGACATCTGTCTGCGGTGGGGAGTACTTCGTGGGGAGAAATTGCGGGCGATAAAAACGGGAATTCCTACGCAATGGTATAAATGTTTGTTTAATATTAAATATGTAGCAGCTATTTGCACTGGAGAGAATGTTTTCTAGGAACGAATCCGGTGGCCCATTTGGAGGTCCATGACAAGTGACATGGAATATTTGAAAATTTTAATTAGTGGGTGGAATTGGTTTTTTAGAAAAAAAATCGTAGAACTATTTTTTTTTTCAGAATGAAAAATATATCGTGGTGTAAAAAATAATACAAGTGCTTGAGTAAATAAATGAACGGAATTAGGAATGAAATGGGAATATTTACACGTTGGAGTGGACATTTTTTTTTGGAAACATTTGTGACACAATGTGATTTTCACTCAGAATAGTCGTGAAATTTCGTGTTTTTTAAAATAAATATTGAACTGAAAAATATTCGTTCTGAATAATTTTGATATTCCATTTGAATGAGTCTGATGACTGAGTATGAAATATGGAAGTGAAATTGTCAATAAATAAAAATTGAAAAAAAAAAATTTCTGAAAAAAAAATATTTTTTGATCAAAAAAAAAATTTGAAATTTTTTTTTTCCATCAAAAACAATTCAATCGTTTATTGAAACGAACCGAGAGGATTGGAACGGGTTGGGAGAATAGCTCCGCACGGGCGAGGCACTCGGTGAGCGTTCGCGGCGGAATTCGAAGTTTTTGGGGTCGGCCGTCGACAGTAGATGTCGCATTTTTTCTCCAAGTGAAATTATTTTTTTTAGGTTTTAAAGGACGAATAAAACGATTGCAAGGCATCGCTTCTCGGCTCATTGAGCTAAGATCAAAGTGTAGTTCTTCAAAGCATCATCCTAAATGCAATTATTCAGTAATGAATTGATCTACAGCTACTTGCCACCCTGGACGAGGATGGCACACACCTCACATGTATCACCCTGGGGGAGGCATGTCTCCTCCAGGGAAATCGCTCTGATGTTTCATCAATAAAGCCTTTTTTATCTGTTCTTATCAGCTTAATATCTGATACGCACTCCATTGGAGTGCCAGAATATTAAACTGATTTTTGGAAAAAGGTGGATGCACGGAGCTTGCTCCGTTTCCACCACGGGTTGACCCGGTATTGCAGTACCGCCGGGACCGGCCCAATAAGCATTATTTCAAAATCAATATATGCTCCATCTTTTTCCAACTCATTTCCCACCCTTTTTTAAGAGTTTTCTTTTTTNCATCCTAAATGCAATTATTCAGTAATGAATTGATCTACAGCTACTTGCCACCCTGGACGAGGGTGGCACACACCTCACATGTATCACCCTGGGGGAGGCATGTCTCCTCCAGGGAAATCGCTCTGATGTTTCATCAATAAAGCCTTTTTTATCTGTTCTTATCAGCTTAATATCTGATACGCACTCCATTGGAGTGCCAGAATATTAAACTGATTTTTGGAAATTGACGGACCCCCGGGGCTTGCCCCGAGTCTGTCGCGAGTTGTCCCGGTATTGCAGTACCGCCGGGCACGGCTCAATAATCTATTTGAAACATAAATTATTCCTTTAAAACTATTACCAATATTTTGAAAATAGCAGTACCTGAAAGTAAAAGGAAAAAAAATAAAAGTAAAAGTCTATTTTCTATATTCCGAATATTCACCTAATTTCTCAAATATCGACTGGTTAACGTACAATACCTCCGCCCAAGCGAGCGGAGCGAGGTGAACTTTTATAACGGAATAGTTCATGTTTAAAATAAATTACTGAGACACGAAAATTGGAAGCAGAAAAATTTAGAGTTGAAGTTTCAATTTGTTAAAATTACATTTAAGAAATATGAATCTAGGAATGAATCAAGACCATATAATAATTGAATTATTAATTCGAGTGTTCGGAATACAGAGTAATATTTAGGTACTTTTGCAAAATATTAATAACAGGTATAACGGAATAGTTCATGTTTAAAATAAATTATTGAGACACGAAAATTGGAAGCTAAAAAATTTTAAATCAAATTTCAAATGTACGTTTAAATTTATGAAAATTCAATTTAAAATTAATTAGTCGAGTATTGGGAATACAGAGTAATGCACTTTCGGGTACTGTTACAAAATATTAATAATAATTACAACGGAAACTTGAAGTTTCATGTTTGAAGTTAATTATTGAGCCAAAAAAAATGAAAATTGGGTGATGTTAAATTTTTGACCTGATTCAACCAAATAAAAGTACTAAATTTATAAAAAAGTAAATGGACTCTCGTCTAAAATAGCGGATTATAATTGATTCTTATGGTGAAGGCCATCCAATCGAGTCTTAAATTTATTAGGTGATGAAATTCTAAATTATACTCGAAGAATAGAATTCACAATTCTGAATGGGTTCGAGTCTCACATTGAAGATTACAATTAATTCCCGAGGTGAAGACCACCCATTCGTGAATTATGAATTTATTAAATGATGAATTCGTAAATTATAATAGATAAATATAAAAAAAATATAAAATGTTTTGAAATGTCTATTGAATTTTCAAAAATTGAATTGATTTAGAATTCTCGGATTACAATTCATGACATTTAAAAAAAAAACAATTTCTGGGAAATTAATGAACTTATATTGTTTATTTCAATGAAAATATTTTAATCCTTCAAAGTAAATATTTTATTTGCAAATTTAAGATTGATTCGAATTCATAAATGTCCATTCGTTACTTCAGAGTGGAAACCCATAATTTACGGAATTTATTATTATATTCATTAGCATTTATTATTCTAATATGTACCATCTACAACATAATATCAAAGGAATCCCGATATAATGCGTCCACACACACCTCCACAGAATAAAAACCAGAAAGTTCAATTAAAAACAATACGACGTTATTGCTTTTCCATTCGGAGATATTAGTCACTCCCTCCGTTAGTTTTTTCCAATGACTTCCTTTTCTTCTGTTTATTTTCCACCTCAGAGTCACTGCTCCCACCCAAAGAAGATCCATCAGATCTTCGTTTACTACTTCTCTCACAGATTCGACTTCCTGATTCAGAATCAATTGCATCTCTCGATTTTTCTTCATCCCGACACGTTTCAACAACTTGGGAAATTAATTTCTTCAGCTTTGTCGGTTCCGGGCTGTACCCTAATAAAATACACTTGACGTGTTCCTCACTGGGCAGACCCCGATAAACTCCATCATCAACTTTGTACCAAGGTATATAACTTGATTTCATTTTAGACACTATTTCCTTCAGTTTTCTATTCCTCTCGATGTCCCACGTCACCTCTCCTGCAGGGGTTTTCACCTCTCGGAGGGGTTTATAGTCTCCTTTTTCCTCTCTGTAAGCTCTACAAAAATAATCATTACATAATAATAATCCGATAAAATTTTTAGTCTCCAATTCTCAATTTCTGTCATTCATTCTATTCATTCTGTCAAAAGATGAGGGTAGAAATAGAATTTAAAGGTATTCTTCCATTATTCGAATAAATATGTTGATTTTAAAATTGTCTGGAGACATTGACAAATTAATTGTTTTCGTTCTTGCCGCCCACTGTTTTTTGCATTTTTAAAAATTTCTTCTCGCTCGAAAAATAGTGAATCGAAATTCCTGCCAACGTACAAAAAGAAAACAACCAATTTTCTAGCCGATTATCCCTTTATGATTCTTTTTTCATTTCCTTTTCATAATAATAATTGGAACCCGATCATAGGAATGAAGAGTACCGATATCCTTTTACCTTATTAAGGGAAAAATAGATTAAAAGAATTTTCAGGAATACATGAAGAGATTTTTCTATTACCCGAGTGAGTTTTCGAATGACTTTTGTGTGTTTTTTTTAATCACAAAAAACACTTTTCATTTATCTTTAACATAATTGCTCTTCATTCAATTTTGTAACTTGTAAATTAAGGGGAAAAAAATTAATAGGAATAAGAATGGATGAAAGTAAATCAATCTAATTGTGAAGACGGAAATGGAAAGAAAATGAATTAAAATAAAATAGTATAAATTAATCTAGTACAGAATGATAATTCATGAAATTAATTTAACGAATTCTGCAATCGATAAATAAACGAATGAAAAATCCAGGTCGTTCTTACTTCAGAAAATCTTCATTTAGGATTCCATAACTCTCAGCGAGTGCCTTGTAGGCTTCAACAATCTCCAACGATAAATAATTGAAATTCTCTTTACTTCTCCCCTTCTTCTTATAATCCTCCAACCACTCGTTGAAAACCTCCAGGGCCTCCCGAATTTTCGCGAGCTTCTCTCCATCCTTAGTAATTTCCAAAACCCGCTTGCCACGTCTGACGAATCCACTGATAACGTTGTACTGATAACTGATATCGCGACCATCCAAGACTTTCAGAGTATCCAATGCCTTCTGCTTGTCTTTGAAGCCCATCGCACTCTCTTCCGGCTCTGCTTTCGCTTTCGGCATTATTTCGAGTAATTTTTTTTTCTTGAGAATTAATTGATCAATTTTTAGAATTTTTTTATCTGGAATTGATAGAGTAGGAATGAATTCGTTTCTTAGTTAATTGTATTCGCAATTTCAATCTGAACTCGACGACTTCGATCGCACAACTGGTCGAATGGGATCCGCTGCCTCAACAATTTCACAGAATGTAGGGGACTGTAAACATCTTGTCGAGTCACATCCAGAAATAAACAGAAAGGTTTGAATTTGATCATCGAGACGAGACGATTGCGTCATATGAATACAAGGCATCTCCGGGGCATCTGTTGACCGTGAGAAATTACTAGACCCAACGAAAGGATTTCTGTGACCTTAAATTGACGGGATTGATTGAATTATTCTGCATTCACTGTTGAAAATTCCGAGAAAAACTATGAAAAACAATAATTTCAGACGAACTATTCCGGGAAAATTGGGGGAATTCAGGGGAATATATTATTGAATTCTCTGGAAATTGGAGAATTCTGTTATTTTGATGCAGAATATTCATGGTCTATTGAAATTTCAAGCGAATGGTGAAATTTCTTCACTAAATTTCAGCTGAATTCATGAGGTCATTTTCATTTAATTAATTTTCTCCCTCAATTAAACTCAAAGCCTCTCTCTTATCAATTTTCACAATGTCAGGGATGATTTGGAATTTCACGGATAATCTGGCAGTATTTTCAGTGTTAATTTTTAACAGTGACATTAAATTTGATTCGTTTCGTCGAAATTTTTAAACAAATTCCCTGCTCAAAGTTACGAATATTCTTTGAACTTGAAGCATATTGATCTTCACCATCTCCTCCTGGAGATTAATGCTCCAATTTGTTTATAAATTTAGAAAATTAGGAGCATTTTGTTAACCTTAACAGAAAAAAAAATGAAATTTGACATTTTAAGCAAAATTCAAGTGAATTCATAAGACACAAGTAAAAATTAGCTGGAAATTTCACAACTTACTTGAATTTTCCTGATTTTCACTGAATAATGAAACTAAAATTTCCAGCATTAGCTGATTCACCCATCGAATTATGAGAAAATCAATGTAACAACTGATTTCTCAGCGTCAAAATTCCCTGAAATTCCAGTGGAAATGTGTCTAGACTGCCTCCAAGACTCAATAAATAGAATAATTAAACAGATAATTGAGCTCATGAATCTGTTTTATTTACACTTGTCCTTACTCTATCATCATTAATAAATAATTCTAACTATGATTAATTATACCACAGCTCAATGACTAGAAAATAAATTCCACTATGTACAATGCAGCAGTGAAGCGGTAAACCGAGTTAAGTCGATTTTGACTATTAGCCAGTTTTTGCTGAATATCTCGGAATCTAAGAGAGATAGCAAAATTTTTCTAATGACTTTTTTTATAACGCTCTATTGGCTCTACAAAAAAGGTCATGACAAAAATCTTTCTATCTCTTTTAGATTCCGAGATATTCGTCAAAAACTAGCCAAAAGTCAAAATCGACTTAACCCGGTTTACCGCTTCGCTACTGAATGACTCCTCTAAATAAAAAAATCCACGACGATTCCAGATAGTTTCATTGAATAAATCCATTTATTCACCGAATAATTTCATTCATTCGTTGAATATATATTCATGGAATCGAATGATTTTTTTTTCCATCGCTCTTTTCAATCTAGCAGACACAACTGTCGACCCCCAGACAAGTGTAGGAGGCCGGTTCAATTTTTGATCCTGCGGTTGATTCCAAAATAGTTGTGGTCTGCGTGTTTGCGGTTGCAGTGGGTAATTGGTTGCGTTGCGCCGACTCGAATGACACAACACCGGACGAGTCCTTTGCCCTCGTTGAAGTCTCCTCGTGGGCGTAACCCGATCGCACCGTGTCCTGCGTTCTGATGTCCAGGGGTAGCTCGTGAGTGGTCAAACGACTGTAGTTTAGAAATGGATCGGGATATGGTGAGGTTGAGGGGTGATAATGATGGTGTGATGCATTGCTTGGGTATTGGTGGGAGTGGTGAGGGTGATAACGACTTGGGGGTGTCTTGAAACCCTCGTTTGTACCCAAGTACTGGTGGAGGTGGTGTAAACTCGATGGTCCATACACTGAAATGAGAACAATTACTTTTCAACGATTCGGAATTTTTTTAGAGATATCTCGCGAGTGCTATTGTGATTGACAGGAAATTTTGAATAAACCCTGAATTTTGTGAAATGAGGGAATTCGGGGGGGATTCTATTTGATTTTTTTCTTTTTTCAATGAAAATGGAATAAAATGTGATGTTAATAAAGTAATTTTCACATATAATGAAAAAAATATATGGCGATACATGTAATTAAGATGATACATGACATTTATAAAAAACATTAAATAATGCGTTTTCAGAGGTTCTGACTTCAATTTAAAAGATTTAAAGAGAGGACTGTATGAATTTTTTAAAGAGGAATACTACAATTTTTAGATTTTCTGCACATCTTTTGTGAATTCTCAAAATTTTTGAATCCTCAGGAAGCTTGATGAATCTTCAGTGGAACTATTCGGAAATTGGGGTTTTGTTTTTCTGTTAAGGAACCAGGTTGGGGAATTTTTCTATAATTATTTTGCGACCACAATTATAATTATAATGGTCATGAAATTCTCAGAAACACTGAAATTTTGGAAAAGGGAAATTCTGGACGTTTGCAAAACGTTCAGTGGAACTATTCGGAAAATTGGGGTTTTGTTTTTCTGTTAAGGAACCAGGTTGAGGAATTTTTCTATAATTATTTTGCGACCACAATTATAATTAGAATGGTCATGAAATTCTCAGAAACACTGAAATTTTTGAAAAGGGAAATTCTGGAGATTTGCAAGAATTGTTCAAATATCCCAATTGTGAATTTTTCAGAAAACTCTGCGAAATTTCGTGCAAATGCTAAACTTATTAGAGTTCTGTCGTTTTTTTCATAACGGAACCAGATTGAGACCTTAAAAATGCGCAATGAGTTCATCAAATGTATATTTGTATTCACCTGCTGCTGTATTCGAATACATGGCGAGGACAGCATCTCCATAGCCACTGGAATGCTTGGACTCATTAACTTCATTAGAGATATTCGAGGATTTGCCAACCACGGGGTGCCCCCTCATGACATTTCCCTGGGCGTCACTTGGGAGGGTGGAAGCTCCAGCGCCATAAGCCATATTGAAGAGAGCCTCTGGATCACACACGAACTTGTAGACGTATCTCTCACCAGCGACCTTCTGCATAATCCCTTTCTCGTAGTAGTACCGGAGGGATCGACTGAGTTTGTCGTAATTCATCGCCGGTCTGTTTTTCTGCACGCCCCATCGTCGAGCCACCTAAAACAGAATTTATCTATATTCATCTTAAATCTACCTTTTTAAGCAGCCCGGATATGATCAAAAAGGAAAATTTGGGTAACCAAGTGTAATTGTCGCGTACAAATATTTTTTAATGAAATTTCAAGACAATAATTCAACACAGAGAGAAATTTTCTCTCATGAATAAACCTTGTAACTAACTTCAAAATATTTGATCTTTCTCCATGAGAAGTCTGCAAATTTCTCTTTTTTTTGCATTTAATGAAGAAAAAAGTGAAAATAGAATCTTCATTAATAATAAAAATTCCCCAAATTGTGGTCACAAAATCCATTTAAATCGTTCATCAATTCTACTTCAATGAGAAAAAGTATCGAAGTGTTAAAAAAAAACGTAGGAAATTGATTTACCTCCTCAGGCTCAATCAGTTTGAATTCCATTCCTCGTCCAGTCCACGCGATGCATGGAGCATTCGCTGGGTCATCCAAAAGAGCTACAAGGAATTGCCAAAGTTGTAAAGACCCTCGTCGTTGTTGTTGGTACCTAATAAAACAAGCAAACTCGTTGAAAATAAATTCTTCACAATAAAAAATTTAAAAAATTCTTGAAGCTTGAAATTAACGTCGAAGAACTCACCCAGCGGCAACATCACTCCAGGAAGTGATTCCAGTGGTAGACGGTGGTCTCTTGATGTATTCTGCATTCCAGGAGTTCGTGGGGGAGCTTCTCTTCTGATAGCAAGAGCTCTGACGCTCCCAGGAGGGAGTCCTGGCATCCGGCTGGGCTCCCAATTCCGTCCAGGTGGGCGTTGTGCTCCTCTTGCTGTAGTCCGTTGACCAGGACTCCTGGCGCGCCAGGAAACTCGAGTCTCCTGAGGCTGATGCACTCGTCTGCACCTGGGGCCACTGGGAGGTCGCTGATGACGCACTCGCGGGTCTACTCGACGTCGGTGAGTCCCTGCGTTCTCTTTGGTTTAGGAGATTATTCGTGTACTGCTGTTGCCTCTGGTAAATTAAACTTCTCGCTGAAAAAAATTTAATAATGGAGATTGAATTTATTGTCCTTTTGTATTTTACAAAATTTTTTCATCACTTGGGCATGAAGTGAAGTTTTGCGCATGATTCGCGTGCGCAATGTTACAATTTCCACACATTGTGATGAAAAATTGGATTTGGCACTTGTGGAAAATAGCTATATTGTGATAATGTTAAAAAATTTTGTCTGAAATTTCTGATACACTTTTTGGAAATTTTTATCGAATTTAACTACCACTGAAATTTCAAGAAATTTCATCATTGAAAATTCAGAATTTTACGGAAAAATAAATAAGAACTGGAATTTTCAGTTCCATTTTTTTCCTGAAAATGAATAGAAAACCAGAAAATTCTGGTAAATATATTCTGGAATTTTCAGGACAGTGACAGTGAATGTGATTTCGGGGCCAAAGATTGCACTGAAAATTCAATGTAATTTGGCACTGAATATTCATATTAGATTGGAAATTCAAATAAATTTGGAAATTCTCGTCTTTATGCTGCTTAAAACTTTAGAATTTTACTGAATTTTCAGTGAAATCTGAAATTTCACGATTTTTTTCTCCCTAAATTGCATTCAGCGTCACTGGCCTGAATATTAATAGTCAACTGTCAATGAAATATTTTTTTTCTAACAGTGTTGGAAGGGTAGCCTCTAAAAAACACTTTTGTGCACTCGTATCAAAACATACTATTGTTTCACAAAAATTTTATCAGTCCTATTTCAGAAATTGACGTGAATGAGGTATTTCATCGAGTTTTAAAATAATTCCGTCAAAACTTTCCGGTAAAAAATGAAAATTCGTGTCATTTTAGTTCTGAATATCCATATTTAATCGAAAATTTTAGTAAGTTGTAAAACTTGCCTCATAATGCTCTGATGAACTTCCTTGAGAGTAACTTAGACCCTGAAATTTAATTACTTTTCCAACAGTATTTTTCAATATTTTCCAAAGTTTCCAATTTTAGTTTGATTGCAAAAAATTTATATAAATTGAGTTCAACTGCATTACTTTCATTATTCAAAACAATACTCAATTTCTAACTTCTCCGGAAACATTAGAATTAGGAATATTCTAATGTTTAGCCTCAAATATCAGTGCAATATTGATATGATAAATGTATATTTTTTATTCTATACTGAAATTCAAATTGCGAATTCCAATAGACTCTAGAATTAATTACATCGTTTAGAAATTGATGGTTAAGTCAGGTCATCGTCGTAAAAATTTATTTCCCCAGCTCGAGCCCCGAAAGAAGCTTAAAAGGGTTGTTTTACCCCTCTCTTTAAACATTTGAATAATTAACAACCGGATTTGCCGCGTCGACGCACGTTAACAGTATTGCACTACGTCGCTGGTCCCCACGGTGGATCGACCGATGTGATTCCAACGGATCCGCTTCCAAGCAATCCGCATTCATTTCCAGTTATTTTTCGCTACTCCTGTTTTGTCTATTTGCTTCGGCTTCACAATGTTTTTAGTTGTTTATCAGAGCGGGGGGGGGNGGGGGGGGGGGGGGGGGTATTCCGCTATCAGTTCAGATTGAAGATTACATATGTTTTTTCAAGATTCTTTCGTGAATGCCGATGCAAAAATGGAGAAAACATTTTTTTTAAGAATGAAGATCATTTGGAATTCTGAAAACGTGGAGAGGAATAAAAAAAGTGGAAGCAGACGATAGGATATCAGAGATTGCACTCACGTGCCATCGACGCTGAAGTGTTTCCCCGTGAAAATATCGACAGGAAATTGGTTGATATTCAAAGCCCTGGTCCTTCCGCCAACCAATCAGTTTCTATTTTTTTTTTAATTTTACACTCCTTGATTAATTCATAATTCTCATTTTTTTTCATTCTTAAATTTAAGAGTCGACAATTATCATGGGACAGTCAGAGGGAGGATGATTAATGGGAGTGATCACACAGACGAATAATTTTTTATTGAGGAATTCCACAGCTTTACTGCGCGTTTTGTTAATAGAAAATCTCCAATAGATACTATTTCATCTTTCTATACAACTTTTTCTATTCAGAGAGTCTCTTTGTGAGTTCTTTGTATATGTTTTTTTAATTTTTTTTTTCACTCTATTTGTTTTCTCTCTTCGTTCAAAAAATTAAACAAAAAACTTGGAAAATTTGAGTCTAGGAATTTCTATAGAAAATATCTTAATAGAGTGCTGAAGATTGGGAAAAATTGATGAATTAATTGAATAAATTAATTTATAAATTTATCCATATTCAACAAGAGCAAGTTTCATGAAGAAATAACGCATTTCCAACGATTTGAGGATATACAGAGCACACTATAGATTCGAGCATTCTTAATCATCAAATTTGTCAATTAAATTGCGTGAGAAAAATTTGAAAACAATTATGAATATTCAACATCATTGAAATTACATTTTGCACAAAATTATGATTTTTTTAAAACATTCGTTGTTAATAAATAAATAATTGAAATTCTGAATATGAATAAATTTGTAACGATTCCAAACAAATGATTTTTGTAGTCCAAAATTGATTGTTTATGAATTATTTACAGAAAAGCCTGATAATTTTAAAAAATTGCAGTTGTTAAATTATTTCAACAACATTTAACTTTTCAACAACATTCAACTTAACATTTTTGTTGGAAATGAATAAATAAAGCCGTCATTATGACCCACTTCAATAAAATAGTTCATTTAGTTCAGATGAAATATATTTAATTCAAATAAATCATTTTTCTGCGTCTCTTGGAGATTTTCACGAGCCACAATTTTCTGGGAAACCAAGGAAGACCCAAGAAAAGGTCCTCCCAAAAATTTTTCTCTTACAATTCAATTCTGTATTTTGGTTTTCCAAAAAATTATCTTCAAATAAATTTAACTCATTCTGCCGTGTCTATTTTTTTCATTAAATTAAACTAAATGCGTTGCAAGTTCCTTTCAAGCACTTGCAAGTGGCCATTACCCGACGACCGCCAGCCAAATAAACATAATTTAATTCAAACAACTATTTTTTGAAGGAAGACACAAGAAAAGTTCTTCCCAAGAATTTTTCTCTCTTATAATTCAATTCTGTATTTTGGTTTTCCAAAAAATTATCTTCAAGTAAATTTAACTCATTCTGCCGTGTCAATTTTTTTCATTAAATTAAATTAAATGCGTTGCAAGTGGCCATTACCCGAAGACCGCCAGCCAAATAAACATCATTTAATTCAAACAACTATTTTTTGAAGGGAGACACAAGAAAAGTTCTTCCCAAGAATTTTTCTCTCTTATAATTCAATTCTGTATTTTGGTTTTCCAAAAAATTATCTTCAAGTAAATTTAACTCATTCTGCCGTGTCTATTTTTTTCATTAAATTAAACTAAATGCGTTGCAAATTCCTTTCAAGCACTGGCAAGTGGCCATTACCCGACGACCGCCAGCCAAATAAACATCATTTAATTCAAACAACTATTTTTTGAAGGGAGTTTGTAATCATGCGCGTGCGCAATCGGTGGTGGAACGGTCCCTCAGTCGGTGGGGCGCGAGTGCACGGAGGGGATTGTTCTCGGGACCTCCACTAATTGTCGCATTTATTCCCCGATAAAAAGGCATTCACCTCATAAATATTGTCCCGGGATATCTCCGATATCCGGGACACCCAAGAACGCAGAAAATTCGGTGACTAATGCGAACAAATAGTCAAGTCCTGAGACAAAAAGATTTAATAACCTATAAAAAAGTACTTTAATTCGTAACAATGGGTTGTGGAATATCGAAACAATTCGATATTTTGAAAGAACGAGAGCGAGGTATCGGAGAGTGCTGTGGTGGGGGGGAGGACGCAGTGGGCCCAGCCGTCGTGCGAGAGAGACATGGCGTCAGTTCGGGAGTTGGACAATAACCGACGCCTCGTCCCACTGTTTGCAGTGAAATTACTAACAATCCAAGGAGTGATTCGCAATGAAAATAACCTGTGGCGGTGAACAAACGATTGCGTTACATGAATATCAAATGACTGAGTAAATCGGACGGCTGTGGAAGACTGAAATTGAGACAATGGTTGAACCCTGAGTGCGACTGAGAGGCGCCGGCACGCGCCAGCGACATAACAAAGGGTCTCTGGGGTGAGTCGGACAACAATCGACGCCACGATTCTCTGTTTTACAGTGGAATTTTCGATAATTATGAGAGTGACACGCGATGAACATCATGTGTATCAGTGGATGAGAGATTAGTTGATGTGAATATGAAAAATTGGACAAATCGGGGGTGGGGACGCCAGAGGACAAAGACAAGGGCACGGGCGGGACAATCGACGCCACATCCCAGTGTTTAGAGGGAAATTATTGACTATCTGGCGAGTGATGTGACGAAAATGATGTATATTAGTGAAAAAGTGATTCTTTTGTGTGAATATTACGTAATTGGAAAAATTAAGACGAAGATGAAGCCCAGAATTCAGCAGGGAAATAACAGTTTATGGCGTGAGTGGGGCTATTGTTGATAATCTGAATAGTGAGATGTGATAAACACTAAGTGTACTAGTAAATGAGAGACTAATTCATGTGACTATGAAAAATTTAGACACATCAGGCGACTATGGACGCCAGAGGACAAAGACGAGGGCACGGATGGGACAATGGACGCCAGATCCCAGTGTTTAATGTGAAGTTATTGACAATGTGGTGAGTAACATGCGATGAAAATTGTGAATATTAGTGAACAAACGATTCATTGACGTGAATATCACGTAATTAGAAAAATTAAGACGAAGATGAAGCTCAGAATCCAGCAGGGAAATAACAGTTTATGGCTTGAGGGGGTCTATTGTTGATATAAATTGTTTATTAGTACACAAGAGATTAATTAATGTGAATATGAAAAATTTGGACAAATCAGGCGGTTGTGAAAGTCAGAGGACAAAGACAAAGGAGTGGGGTGATCGACGCCACATCCCAGTGTTTACAGTGAAATTATTGACAGTCTGCGGAGTGATGTGTAGAGAAAATTATGCGCGTCGGTGAACAAACGATTAATTTACGTGAATATCACGTGATTGGAAAAATCAGGGTTGGGGAGGGCTGAGGACAATGAAAAAGGTAGGAGTGGAACAATTACTGATGCCACATCTATTTACACTAGAGTGGTTGACAATATGGGGAGTCACATGTAATAAATGAACAATCGTTTCATTAACGCAAAAATTGACAATTTATGGGGACAGGGATTCAAGAAGTGGATTTATTTTCATGAAGTGAGTTTTATATCGATGAGTAATGGTTTTATTTGTGTAAATGTGTTGTGTGTGTGTGTGTATGTGTGTGTGTGTGTGCATTCCTGACGAAAAACGGAGATTCTTCAGAGATCCAACATTCTTCAAGACTTGAGGATGCATCAGCCTGACGAGTTCCGGTCCGGTGAGTCTCATTATTTTTTTATCGCATGTTCTTCCACATTATTTCCTAGGATATTTTGCGTACACGGAGACAAAAGTTGGAGAAAAATTACCAAACAAGTCAGGTAATCGTGGAACAATAATTTAGCTAATTTTTCTCTAACGAATAATTATTTTTGGCGAACTCGTTTCGTATAACTTCACTTCCGTCTGTCCCCTTGGCCTCGACATTCAGATGGGAACAAAACAAACAATACCCTATCGGTGTGGGAAATTTTACTAATCACGAGGTTAATTTTTGCACCGATAGATCTGTTTTTCACAAAGAAAATCGTAAAATATTCATTACCATCAAAAATAGAACGAAAAACTTATGTCCATATGTAAATATTTGGCTGAAGGCCCTCGAGCGATGGCCTGTTGTAAGAACATTATTTTTTGCGTATTTTTTTGCAATAAATTTCGTTAAAAATTGAAAAATTTAAAAAAATATTCACTAAAAAACGGTATTTTTTCACTGAATTACATTTCGCTCCATGATGACCATTCGTATAGTCAAATTTGTCACGATTTTCTAGGTAATTTTTATCCAACTTATCTCCGTGTATGTTTCTCCCAAATTTTCAAACGTATATCAAAGAATCAAGCAACAACAAAGGCTGTAGAGAAAGCTGAAACGTTGATACCCCAATTTAGACTGTGGTAGAAAGGGCTATGACGGTGGGCTGTGTCGAGGTAACTCGAGGATTTGCAGCCTCGGTTTTAAATTAAAATTAATCGCGAGCTGATGAACCCCGGGACCCCGTCAGCGCAGGGGTTGAGCTGGGGTTTTGGTCCCTCTGACCAAAACCGCATATAATATCACATACAGATTCTGCCCACCAATTGTCATGCCACGTTTTATTCTCCGTCTGTTTCCTGCTGAATGTTCAGATGAAAATGTCTTGCACCAATAAATCGGCACAAAAATAACGAGAGAGCACTCGGGGATATCGTATTATTAACGTAAACTGCGAGTGAATAATTGAGTCGGCTTAATGGCAGGGAGAATTACGAAGAGCGAGAGATACGTAATCCCCAGGTGACTGCAAAGTAGCCAAGGCTCAGCCATTGGCAAAAGCCAAGCGCTGTATTTCAATTTGACAAAATGCATCACAACTTGAAGCAAAAAATGGCATGTGTATTCATCGATTTATTGCAGATAGAGGGAGGTAAACATACGGGGATGGGTGATCCGCTGTTGTTTGGTCTTGTTCATTTTGCTTTTTACTGACAATTCTCGGGAGAATATTTTTCTCCACGGTGTGCCATTTATCCGCGTGCTCTCGTTGGCTCTCGCTGTGCGAGATGAAAGCATTCTTCAATTATTCAATTACGTTTACTTAGAGCACGCGTGAGCTAAATTCCCTGAAGAGTTCAAGCTACTAGGGAATATTTCGATGGTGTGGAAGACGGTATCTTCCGGGATAGTTCTGAAATAGCTGAAGAGAAAAGTTGGAGAAAAATTATGTAGAAAATCTCGGTAAATTTTGTTGAGCGAAGGGTAATCGTTGCGAAAAATGCCTCTTCGTTCAGTAAAAAAACATGGGACGATGCAAAAATTGACCATTCGCCCCACATTTTTTTCTTTGATATAGTCAAAAAGACCTGGAACTGAAAATGAAAATGAAAATTCGTGACTTTAAATTATGGGCAAGCTAGGTAACCGATATGAGTTTGAATTTCTTTGAGACACCTCATGTAATAATTACCGGTGCTCAGGTATAAATGTACGGGACCACCCTCGCTAGCTCCTCCCTTCAAGAGGTTCATAATTTTTTAAATTACAAATTTAATATTGCAAATTAAATTCAAGAACTAAATTAAATTGAATTCAAGAAGAAGTTTAATTTTTACAGCGTTTAACGTTACAAAATAATAAAAAGCCAAAATAATAAAATTAATTTGACCAAGTCACACACTTCCAGTTTGACCATTTTTTCTCCGCGTGGAATTTAAAAAAAGGAATTAAATCATGTATAGGTTGAAAAAAAAACGTCAGATGTTGTGAATATTTTTATTGAATATTGCAATATGTGCTGTAGGATCTGAGCCACCCATCTTTCCTCAAGAATTGGGTATGAGAAATATTTGCAGGCATGGCCTGGGGCACTGTATTTGCTACTACCGGAAGTAAGATTTCAGGGCTCGACATTATAGGGTTTTTTTCGTCAGAGGAATAAATATTGTGAGGGACAGGAAAATTGATGGTCAACATGTGATAATGATACCACATGATCAATCTCACATGTTGAATGTGTCTTTTTTGTTTCTTTTTCGCTGAACCAAATGAATTATCCAAGAATTTTATTCGACATTCTCCTCCAGGTTTTGAGTCTGATAGAATAACGGTGAAGATTATCACTGTTCCGTGTATTTATCGACGTTAATGTGTTGATTTAGACTGTTATCAGCAGTTTTCAATTGATAAAACTGATAGGGAACGAAATTAAAGAAATTTGAAGCTCTCTTTGATGATCTTTTGACATTAATGTAATTCAGTATCGAAGTGGTAAAAGGAGATAAGTCAATTTTGACTATTGACCAGTTTTCAATCAATATCTCGGAATCTAAGGAAGATAGCAAAATTTTTGTTATAACCTTTTTTGTGGAGCCAATTGAGTGCTACAACAAACGTAATTACGAAAATTTCGCTATCTCCCTTAGATTCGGATATATTCCTCAAAAACTCAACTGGGAGATAATTCGACTTACCACTTTACCACTTCACTACTGAATTGTGTTCTTTGTCATAAATATTAACCAATAGTGTATTGATGAGAATGTCAATGATTTATTAGTTTAAATTTCCTGACGACCACTTCAGCCAACTCATTAACATCAATAACCAAAGGTGGAACAAATTCAAAAATTCTGTTCCAGTCATACATGATCTGTTTGCCTTTCACATATAAAAAAATCTCGAGTACTTCAACAGTAAAAACAAACTTTCAATTCTTACAAATGCCAAAATGTGTTTGGAGATCTGAATATCAAGCACACAATAGTGAGGGATAAATCAGAAGTCGTTGGTATAATTTATGAGATTTGTAGGGTAGAATTGAGCACGTGGGTCCACTCTGCTGCCCCCCCACTAGCTTTGTCCAGAGATTTGTCACGGAGTGGGAATGGTTGCATTGAGGGTAAGTTAGGTACAGGGTTCAATCGCTCTTGACATCATACCCAGGGATTTATCTGGTGTTTTCGAGGAGATCGAGATTTCATGAGCCATTGGGACATCCCCATTTAATTCAATTCAATGATGTAGACCTATGAATTCAATGAATTCGCAATGAAGTGTCGATTACCTCTAGATATTCTGTGGTTGTGGTTTTTTAACTCACCAGAGGATGCTTCTTGTGATGTTGGTGATGAGAGGTTGGTCACTGTCGTTGGTTCAGCATAGCCACGATCCGTCGGCTCTTCTTTCACTGCAATACCCTCCGGCGGTTCGTTACTCCTTGGGCTCAATTTGCTGTTCGTTCTGAACATTAACAACATTTTTTTAGTCGAGTCTTTTATGTTTAATATTTTCGGGTTGTTATACTCACCCAAAACAATTTGCTGGTGCTGCTGGACTCAAATCGAGATAATTTTGTCCCGTATTACCAGGATATTGGGGATGGTAGTCGTCACTATTTCTCCGGCAATTGACTTCTTGCTTCACTCCTGAAATGAAAACACGAATGTTGGAATGAGCAAGAACAATTTCGTCGTATTACCGAACTGTGCAACTTGGATTTGTTATACTGTTAGAGGTTTTTGAAATTTCATGGAAAATATGGTGGTAATTCTCATAAGAGCGACATTGAATCCAATTTAGGGTGAGAATGGCTAGGAAATGTCACGTTTTAGGGAGAACTCAAGGAAATTAATGAGTTTTCAGTGGAAGTGAAACGGAAATTTCACAAGTTGACTGAATTTTTAATGCAAAATAACATGAATTTTTAACTTTTCCCTGAATTTTCCTGATGTTTCCGAATTTTTACGGAATAGTTGAACTGAAAAATCAAGTATTTTATTGATTTTCACATCATTCGAACAGAAAATCAATGGAATATTTGATTTTTTAATGACAAAATTGCCTGAAATTTCAGTGGAATAATATGGAGCTTTATTCATTCATCTAGTTTCCCATTGTCAACATTCATTGAACAATTGCAATTAGAATTATTCTGGTAAATTTACCCTACTTGTTTTCCCTTCGTCAATCTACACAAAGAAATTTATATCGACATTCTCAATGCTGTGGAATGATTTTGCGCGATTCAAGTGAAGGTGGTGTTGTTGAATGGAAAAAAGGACAGAGGACATAAGGGCGCGTGTCGCTGCGGAAGTTGAGACGCATCGTTGCAACGGCACGTGAGGACGTAATGGCTTCGTAGCTGGGGGTTATACCATTCAAAATGATAAATCGAATATCGCGCAATGCCGTGGGAAGGTTCATACCCGAGTTTACTCCATCCAATGATCATTTACATTTCAAACAAACATTACATCATTTCCGATTTTTTTTTACTGATTTTATGAACATTGGGTGTTAATTATCGAATGGGACTAAAATCACAGGGTTTATTCCCGTGTTGATGAAAATTATTAGCTACGTTTCGAGTGAGCAAACATGCCTCGAGGGTTGACGGGAAGCACACGTACGGAATTTTGATATTATGATGTTGCAGGGGGAGGGTGAGATATATTGGAAAATTGGGTAAACAAAAAATTCAATCTGTATGATTTTTCAGGGACTTGTGAAGGGGATTAACATTTGTTGGCGATGATATTCATTTGGGGTGAGTGTTAAGTGGTGGAGCTTGTAATCTGGTATCGAAATTTATTTCTTGAGTGAGAAATTTCAGCCCTGGGTGGAGGATTTCCATAAGATTCGGCGAGTGACTTTTGTTCCATGAAAGAATGTCTTCGAACACTGTTAGAAAAAAAATGAAATCTCATGGAGAATTGACTGCTAATTTCCAGAACAGTGACAGTGAATGTCATTTAGGGGAAAAAAATCATGAAATTTCAGGTTTCACTGAAAATTCAGTAAAATTCCAGAATCTTAAGCAGCATAAAGACGAGAATTCCTTAATTTATTTGAATTTTCAATCTAATATGAATGTTCAGTGCCAAATTACATTGAATTTCCAGTAAAATGTGAAATTTCACGATTTAAAAAAAAAATAAGAATATATTTATCGGAATTTTCTGCTTTGCTACTCATTTTCAGGGAAAAATGGAACTGAAATTGACAGTTCTCTTTGATTTTTCCACGAAATTCCTTGAAATTTCAGTGGTAATTGAATTGAATAAAAATTTCCAAAAAGTGTACCGAAAATTTCAGACAAAAATTTTTAACAGTGAATTGGCTTCTTCCTCATCAGCATAGTAAATTTACGCGATAACTTTGTTTGAAGATTACATGGAAATTATCAAGCTACAGATTACGTAATGCAAACGTGCCAAATAGACCGTTCAGACTCGACTTGAACATTTCCGGGCGTAAGTTAATACTGGAGATTGCTGCCTGATGCTTGTATGGGCACATGTACTAGATAATCATAAATTTGCGGGAGAATTTCTCATTTCCATGAATATTCGATTCCCGTAGCCGAGGCGGGGCAAAAGTAAATAGAATGAATGCTCAATGTATTGAATGTTTTACCTGGTATATGTTGAAATTCGGGTACGTACTGCTCACTATCTTCCGTCTCACAGCTGCTTGCTGAAAATAGAAAAATGCCATTTATGTATGAGAATGATTATTTCAATTTTCGATCTTGCTTGCTGAATCTAAATCTCTGGCCACGCTTAATTTTCAGCTGCATGGGGAGGGGTACGAAATGAGTCAATCCTCCCTTGGCAGTGAACCGACACACCCCCGTTTATCCTTTCTCCATTATATTCATCGCTTATGATGTCCACAGTTGGTTTATGCTGTTAATTGAAATTAATGTTCCTATGGGTCGAGTTTATTTATCCAAAGATGCTAGTCATCATGTAATAGAGAGGATTGTATGTTAGTATGTCCTCAGCCACCAACACTGTGTAAAGGATGATTATCTCAAAAAGTTTTAGTTAAAAAGAAAGTTTTTTGTGAAACTTTGTTGTATGTTGCATTTAATTTTGCCTTTGAATCCGCATGTGGATGTACACTGAGAGAGAAACAAGCACGTTGTCAAACAAGTCTTGTTTGGGCCAACAAATTCGCCAGTCGAAAGTTATCAAAAAAGGATTTGTTTAGTTCGAAATATTTGGCTCAAGAGGCGGATAATTCACATCAGACGGTACCTTTTCCGGATGAAAATATCTCATAGAGGAAAATTTATCGACCAATATTTCATCCCTCAGTTCCAAGATTGTTGTAGCAAAAAAAATCCTTTTTTGATGATTTTCAAAAAACTAATTTCTTAATACAAGCAAGACTTGTTTGCGAACTCTGTCGTTTTTCTCTTAATGTAGATAGCATCTGATATTCCTGTCCGCTAAAAATATTGAACAACTCGTCAGCTATGGTAGCTCCCGTCATGAACATTGATGTTCCAGAATCCTAGAAATTAACGCAGTAGATCCCCTCGATGATGATCTTTAATTTTTTAGTAATAAAATGCAAAAATAATCGCCCGAACAGGGACTCGAACCCTGGACCCTCAGATTAAAAGTCTGATGCTCTACCGACTGAGCTATCCGGGCAATAGTAAACGGGCTCCCCCGATTGTACAAAAGCCGGCCGTGTGACGTCAGACGTGACTTACCATCCGAGCAGTCCGTCTCTACCGAAACGTCGATATTTCGTTTCTACTTCTTGCTAAACATGTTTTCTGATTGTCTTTGGCTAGGAAGCAGCTTGAAACTGTCAAGATGAGGTTGTTATGTGTGTACATAACCTAACAGTGCATATGTACAGTGAAGGTGCATGGTAAGGTCACCGTGTAGTGGCATGGTAAGGTACATTGATTTTTTCGTGGCTAGCCGGACGACTAATGCTATATCAGCTTTTGCTACATCAGCTGTGTTTGCTGCAGGATTTCTATTGATTATATTAGAAGCTTGTAACAGGAAACTAGTTTCTTACCGTCTTGAAGCCAATGTTCTTGCCTGAATTCAGGGGCTGGGTATAATGAACCTGAAAGAAAAGGAAAGGAAATTATCACGGGAACTGTTATAAGTATATGAATTGATATAGAAGTACAGATTTTTGCAATCGACTCGCACTATTGAACGAAACATCCCAGTTAAGAGGGATAACGGCCAGTTTTTTTCTACATTATCTACCTTTTTATAAATGAAGCGTTCCGATTGAAAGGGATAATGGCCTGTAAAACCTAGGAGCTGGACGTCCTCAAAACATAGAACATTGAACATTACATTGTTAAAAATTTTCCGAAATTTCAAGGAACATGTGGTAGTAATTCTCACGTGAGTGACATTGAATTCGATTTAAGGGAAAAATGGTCATCAAATTTCAAGTTTTAGGTAGAATTCAAGGAAATTCATGAGTTTTCAGTGGCAGCGAGACGGAAATTTCACAACTTTATTGAATTTTCAATGAACCACCAGTATTTCCAAATTTTCGTGGAATTATTAAACTGAAAAATCAACTATTTTATTGATTTTCTGTTCGAACGACCTGAAAATCGATAAAATATTTGATTTTTCAATGACAAGATTTTCTAAAATGTCAGTGGAAATTAAACGTAATAAAAATTTCCGGGATTTGACACGGAAAATTCAGACGAAAATTTTTAACAGTGTACATCCCATACATACTCACTACTAGAAATTAAAACAAATAAGTTGAAATAACCACGCTCATACTCCATTCATCCACATATATTTTCGCATCTGATGGGCAACGTCCCGAATTCGCTACGGGTGTCCACTCATCGATAAACTCATTGTCCACACATTCAAGATATCGTCAGTTCTAGGAATCGAATCTGCGGGCAAATCACACCTCATTGCCCCCGGATAATGATGGCACTCTCATAGTTCCCCTATTCCTAGACATTCTCTTAGTGCCTCAATATCAATTCATTCTTACTCATCGCTGTCATTCTCCCGTACAGCATTCATCATCATTCTACGATACTTCTTCGAATGTCCATTTACGTTAGAATTCAGAAGTAAAAATCCACAATTGTAAGGAAATTAAAGTCTATTTTTGAAGCTGACATGCCAATTCCAATATTTCTTATTCACAAACCGGAGAAAAACCAAATGACGTTCAACAGAAAAAGCGTTCGATGCGAGAGGTAACGCGATTACTATGGAGAAATTGCGGCATTATAGGCGGTAATTGAGTTACGAATTGAAGGGTCCCCCTCCGGTTTTGCGAGCGAGCCCTGCTCTCGTGGCATGCCAAATGCTAGACATAAAGTGTCAATCACTGGCATGCAGTACATGAGAATTTATTTCGTCTTTTCAATTTATTCCCCACCACACGGAGAGAAACGTTGGAGTGAGAATTATGTAGAAAATCTTGGCAAATTTTACTGTACACTGTTAACAATTTTTGTCTGAATTTTTCGTGGTAAATCCCGTAAATTTTTATCGTGTTCAATTCCAATGTGTTTCAGTTTCCAATGAAATTTCAGGTCATTCAAACAGAAAATCAATAAAATACTTGATTTTTCAGTTCAATTATCCCGTAAAAATTCGGAAAAATCGAAAAATCATGTCATTTTGTTGCTAAATATTCCTGTTACATTGAAAATTCAACCGAATTGTGAAATTTCCGTCTCACTCCCGCTGAAAACTCATTAGTTTTCGTGAACTCTACCTAAAACTTGAAATTTCATAACCATTTTCTCCTTAAATTGGATTCAATGTCACATTCATGAGAATTACTATCATATTTTCCACGAAATTTCGAAAAATTTCTAACAGTGTACGAATGGTAAACTAAACGTGGAGTGAGACTCTTTTTAAACAAAAAATACTTTTTGCCTTGAATATCTTACGATTTGTTCAGCGGAAAACATGACATCCGTGGATTTAAAAAATTACAGTTCCCTCACAGCAAAAACGAATATCTGAATTTCACCCACGTTTTGCAGACATTTTTCAGACACTAAAAAACATCTGAATAAAACGAAAATTTGTCTGATATTTCAAACATGAATTAAGATGTTTGGGAACCTGTTCGTCTGAAATTCAGATATTCGTCCTTGCTGTCACGTACAGAGATGAAAGTGAAAATTTACTGTACAGTCATTCAAGTTCGCTGCCGTAATTTTTTTTTTATGGAATTCCGGATAGATCTTACAGTTTGAGAATAAATTACCTTGACTTTTAGCCAAATTCGCTGAGCAAGCGGAGAAAAATTCAGCATTTACCAAGAATTCAAATTCAGCAAAAAGATCTAGAACAGAATTCCGATCCACGATTTCTCGATTTCTTTGATAATTATTCCCCCAACTTTTTTCTCCGTGCATTTTCGATCAGTATGAATCCCAAAAAACATTAAATTAGAATGTTTCTGCTTGAAGAGGAAATCGAAGAGATTTTTTTTTCCGCGAATAGATGAACCTTGTAAGGAAACGAAAAGATAGTTGTCGCTCGTCTACTTTAATCCATTGAACTTGTAAAGATGAAATGAAAGACCACAGGAACATAATAACTTGGCTGATGCGTCGATATAAAGATATAGACCGGTCGGAAAGTCAACCTGCCAGTGACAGCTTTCCTTCAGAGGTAGGGGGACTGTCCTCCCTCTTGTAATCACGCGTCTACGCGTGCACTGAAGGCCACATTTTAGTTTTTCATCTGTGTTAGTGCATCAAAGAAGATGTATCATCAAAGAAAAGCAAGCTTATTCTCCTTTCGTTGTACTTGATAGTGTACTACTTCATCAAAACTTGTTGTTTCAATTCACTTACCATGATGGCTCTTGGCTGATGGTGTTTGATTGACTGGATATGCTGAGCAGTAGTTGGGGTTCAATGTAGTGTGCACTGGCTCTGTCAATCTGGGGAATCCTTCGTTAGTCTGAAAAAGACGGTAATTTCGATGAAAATCAAATGGCAATTTCCTTTCTACTTAATGGGGTTTAAAAAATGCATGACGGATGCGGTGAAGTCGTAAAAGAGTGAAGCCAAAAGTAAAAACGAATGTCTGGATTTCACATACCTTTTGTAGACATTTTTCAGACACTAAAAAACATCGAAATAAAATGAGTGTGTCTGAAATTCAGACAAATTTTCATTCTATTCAGACGTTTTCAGTGTCTGAAAAATGTCTACAAAAGGTGTGAGAAATTCAAACATTCGTTTTTGCTGGCAATTGAAAGATCCTTTAGGGAGAATAATTTTTCACAGTTGATGATGAAATTATTATCTAAATCTTTAAAACCTTCACCGCATTTATTGGGAGATAGTTTCCTCGCGAATTAATTTTGAGATTCCACTTGAGATTAATGTTGAAAAAAAAGAAAATCAATGAATGAAAATATTCAGAGAAAGAAGTCCGAACGATAGGGAAATCCTTAATTAGTCAGAAAATCAACCAACTTTTGATAAACGGAATTTTGATAAATGAAATTACCTAAATATTCAAAGCATTCAGTGCATCTATCAATAATAATTTGAATATTTCACTTGGAATTGATGTTGGAAAAATCAATGAATGAAAATATTGAGAGACTGAAGTCCAAACGATAGGGGAGGATGAGTCGAGACAGTGAAAGAAAATGTAAGATTGAAGTCAGGTGATTTCGATATATATATGATTGTAGAGTGAGATGAAATACGAAGGCGGAGGACATCCGGCGAACGATTGGTAGGTTTCCTCCTTGCGGAGCAATCTTGTGGTAAACCCAGTTACCGGCCCCCCTGAATTCTCGGTTATTAACGAGGATACCACCGTGTACAATTCGTGATCTATATTACGGGTTTTCACAAATGTAATTTCAAGCCTTCGATATTTTAACAAAAATGCCATCTTCATGCTCACTTAGTCAAAGGGCAGGAGCTACCTGCAATGAAGTAATAATGGAGTGAGTTGAGATTTGGGAGAACTAAGCGATTGAAGAAATATTAATTGTCTCAAGTAAATACACCCAGAAAAATGATTTATTTGAATCAAATAAAGTTTATTTAAATAGTTCCAAATAAAGTTCTTCTTCGACCTGAATAAAAATTATTATTCGAAGTTTTGTTTATATTAAATAAATGTTTTTTCACTATAGATAAATTTTATTTGAATAAAATAAATGTTTTCTTTCAACTGAATAAATATTTATTTGATAGTAATAATTTATTATCGCTTTGAGATGGCGACACATTCGACAAAGATAGAACGAAAAACATGCAATAATTATTAGGGGCTGTACACTGTAAAAAATTTGGTGTTAATTTAACACCGAACGGTGTCTTAAGAAGTTCACACCGGATTTTTTACTGTGTACATACATGACGTAAGCCACTATACACTGGAGTGAAAAGTGTAATCAAAAATTGGAGTAGTATGATTCTATTTATTTGCAATAAATAAATTGTTTGTTTAATATAATTAAATTCTTGTTCTTGAAACAAGTAAACAAGTAATAAAGATATTTTTTTGTAATAAAGATATTCTTGAAATGAGTAAAAAATTTAATATAAAGATATTCATTTGATTGAAAAACCATGTTTCTGGGTGTATATTTTAGATATTAGAATTTTTGTTCTCAGTGTACAACGAAAAATCAGGGATTAATGTCATGTTATTTCCATCTAATTTGGAAAAGACAAAAAGAGAAAAATGTTGAAAAACGTTGGATAGAACTTGATAGTGCGATCTCCCATGATGACTATTAATGACTGAGATTAATCCCTGGTCTAATATCCGGCCTCTGTTTTAATTGCATTCATCATTAATAATCGTTTTCCCATCCGTCTACCAAAATCAGGGGATAAAACCTCTTGGTTATTCACTTCTCAGTTAAACATATAACACGCGTCAATGCCCATAGTTGACATACGAGTCGATGGAGTGAATTAAAGAGCTAATGACTCGTAATAGGAAAGTACAAACACGGTCGCGTGTCAACCAGTGCCGTGATCACTTCCCAGGACGACGTTTTTTTTTTCCGCTGTCTCCCTCAGGAAAAATGTTTCGATTTCAGTCAATTCATTCTCGCAGACTCATCATCGCTGAATTGTTTGTCCTCGTGTGAGTCCCTCGGTGGATTTTATTGCCCCTGGTGGAGGGGTTTTCGAGTACTGCTTGGCTAGGTTGGTAGTCGCGTGCGGTGAAATTGATGCCTTGCAGTGTCTGCATTGGGGTAACGCCCTGTTACTTCGTTTTTAGGGGGGTGTGGAGGGAGAAGGGGGGTTCCCCTTAACATGGGGGGAGATGCTCTCTTAACCCACACTCGTAATTCCGCACTTCGATATGGTTTATGATAGAGTCATTCAGGGGATTAGTTCATGTGAGAATTTCTTTTTGTAGTCTTCATTGGAATTGTTACATCAATTCGGGATCTTGATTCCTCGCAATTGCGAGGAATTAATTAAATTAAAATTTTATATTTCACCAATTTGTCTCGATTACACATCATCAATTCGTCTCAAAATATAAATTAACATTTTTGTTATCTTTTATTCATTGGCTCTATTATTCGTTGACTGATGTTCTTTCGTATTCAACATTTCAACTACTTTTTTATTTATGAAATGATGTAGTTGATAAAAATTAATGAATGAAAACAATTAAAAATTATTCAAATTTACTTTAGAATTTTTTATTAATTAAAATAAGATCAAAATTAAAAATTAAAAATTGGGGTAACGTTCTGTTATTTCGTTTTTTTCTTCGGGAAGGTGGGGGGGTGATTCCCTTTAATGCTGAGCGAGATGCTCTCTTATTAACCCCCACTCGTAATGCTACACTTCGATATGGTTTTGTAATAGAGTCAATCAGGGAATTAGTTCATGTGAGAATTTGTTTTTGTAGTCTTCATCGGACTTGTTACATCAATTCGGGATCTTCTTCTTTCCCTCCGGGGAATGACGCAATTGCGAGGAATTAATGAAATTAAAATTTTTTATTTCATCAATTTGTCTCGACTACACATCATCAATTCGTCTCAAAATATAAATTTACATTTTTGTTTTCTTTTATTCATTGGCTCTATTATTCGTTGACTGATGTTCTTTCGTATTCAACATTTAAACAATTTTTTTATTCGTGAAATGATGTAATTGATAAAAATTAATGAATGGAAACAATTAAAAATTATTCAAATTTACTTTAGAATTTTTTGTTAATTAAAATAAGATCAAAATTGAAAATTTAAAAATTGGGGTAACGTTCGGTTATTTCGTTTTTTTCTTTGGGAAGGTGGGGGGCGATTCCCTTTAATGCTGAGGGAGATGCTCTCTTATTAACCCCCACTCGTAATGCTACACTTCGATATGGTTTTGTAATAGAGTCATTCATAGGATTAGTTCACAGAGAGTTGAGAATTTTTGTGTGAGTCTTTATTGGAATCGTTACATTAGTTCTTGATCATCTGATATTCGCATTTCTCATTGTGAATAGGAATTCGTCGGAATAGGGTTCATTAATTTCCATCAGATCTTTATTTCGATTTTTATTAGATGATATGATGAGAGAAAATGTTGGAATTGAAAATAGGAGCTCATTCCAAATGTTGTAGCACTTTCTGTTTGGGAAATACTCATTTAGAGAGATTAATTATGAATATGGATTGGTCGGGGTAATTAATCTCCACGAGATCTTTATTCCTTTCATCGGTATTTCGCCCCCTGAAATTGTCTCTTACGCTCTTTTCGACTTTCTCGTGTGACGGCCACTGGGGTGCGAAGACAATGCAACAGCAAACAATAGTTTTTTTTTTCTCCTCGTAACACCATAAGAAAAGTTGAGCGGCGAAGAGTCGATCCAGCTAATTGGTTTTCCTTGATCAGACTTCATTTCTTTAGTCTGTTTTCAAAAAAAAAAAGTGTTGACCGGGGGGCCTCGGGTTACAGGCTTCTATGTAGTACAATGGTTTTTGTAGGGTTTGAGGTTGACTGTCAGATAATGTGAATGATTTGGGGGATTTATTCTTTGATTTGATAAATTTTTACAAAAAAATGCAACTAAATTTGTTATTCAGCTGCTCCATTCATGTATATCTCCAATATTTGACAGTACATTTTGAATAATGACGAAAATAAAAATTTGAAATTACAAAGATTCGAACGTTTTCAACTGTAAATTTCTTTTTCTGAGTGTGAAGAATTCTCAAATGGTTCTGGATATTTTTTGTGAATTTTTAAAAATTAATTGACGTGTTTCCCTTCCACTCATAGTAGTCATCTATAAAATAGAGCACTCAAAATATGTGAAGCATTAGGTGGACCGCATCTATCATTCGGTTTCTCAATTCTTAATCTTTCAAATATTTGATAGTAAAATTTGGATAATGGTGAAATTAGAAATTTGAAATGACAAAAGATTCGAATGATTTCAATTTTTGATTTCTTTCTCTGGAAGTGGATAATTCTCAAATGGTTGTAGCTATTTTCTGTGAATTTTTTAAAATCGATTGACATGTTTCCGTTCCACTCGTAATAATCATCAAAAGTGGAACACTCAAAGTATGTGAAACATTAGGTGCACCACATCGATCATTCGGTTTCTCAATTCATAATTTTGATAAATGAGAAAATTGGAAATTTGAAATGACAAAAAATTCGAACGTTTTCAATTGTTAATTTATTTTTCTGGTTGTGAAAGACATTCAAATGATTTTGGCCATTTTCTGTGCATTTTTTAAAATCAATTGTCACATGTTTTCTATCCACTCGAATAATCGTCTGAAATAGAGCACTCAAAGTATGACAATGAAACGTAACGTCAACGCCCAAGAATAATAAACTTCTCATGTTCAATATCGGTTATATACCCCTCAAGTGTCGATACACGGCACGCGACAAGAGTGTCCCACGGGATGCGAATGGCCACCATCCCTTTTGTGTCCTCTAAACACGTAATTGTCACTCCCCACCTTCCCTGTATATGCGGTAGCATCCCCGATCGGGGCCACACGCTTTCCACGAGGGGTGCAAAACCGTGGGTGGCCTATTCAGTTCCCCTGTCGCTGTCCCACTCAAGCTCTATCTGTTTCAATGATTTCCATTCTTTTTTACTTTTTCGGGTATCATTTTACCCGTGACCTACCGGCGCTCGAGAAGGACCACTTGATTTATGTTTGTTGGTTATGAAAATCGCGCGATTCCCACACTATGTTCGTCTCCCTGCCGTCCACCCCCTCGTTTTTTTTTTGCGAGAATAGTTAATTGAGATGACATGGAAGGAACATATGCTTGCACTCGAGTTTCCCAGGGATTGAGGGATGACACCTCGGGGAATTTTTGTTTTGGGCACTAGTTGAAGGCGGGAGGGGGTTGTTGGGGAAACAGTTAGGTGGAGAGATTAGGGGTCATTTTGGATTTTTTAACCGTTGATTGACACATTTTTTTCTTACAAGATTTTTTTCATCATAATATTTCATCTTATTTTCGGTTTTATCCATGGAATGGGGCAATTGAGAGAAATTAATTGAATTAAAAATAAAAATGATGCAATTAATTATTGTTTCCTATTTGGGAAACAGAGTCATTCAAGATTTTCAATTCGGCGATTCATAGATTTGTAGCATTTAACATTTAATCTTCTTTTTTAGTTATTCATAAGAAGGTTGAATTGAGACGAATTGATGAATTGAAAAATAAAAATGATGTTTTGAGTGTTGAGGAATTTTTCTCAATTAAAATATGATACATTTTTTTATTCAACATTTCAGCTAATTTTTTATTTCATCCGTGGAATGAGACAATTGACAGAAATTAATTAAATTAAAAATGAAAATTATGCAATCAATTATTGTTTCCTATTCGGGGAAAACTCGGTGTCATTCAAAATTTTTCATTCGGTAATTCATAGATTTGTAGCATTTAACATTTAATCTAATTTTTCATTTATTCATAAAAAGGTTTAATTGAGAGGAATTGATAAATTGAAAAATAAAAATCATGTTTCAAGTGTTGAGGAATTTTTCTCAATTAAAATATGAACATAAATGGGTTATTATCATGACTGTTTCATATTTGGGAAACAGTTGAAAAGATTAGGGGGCATTTAGGATGTTTTAATCTTAATTAATATATTTTATTAATTTCATTTTTTTTTATTTTGAATATTTTGTCTACTTTAATGTTTTATTCATCGAAATGTTCAATTAAGAGGAATTGCGGGAATTGAAAAATGTCAAATATTTCAAATGAAGTTAATTAAAATTTTTTCGCTTCCATTAATCTCGTAATTCTTTATTGCTTCAAGTTTGGGTTGGGAAACAGTTATTCCGAGAAATTACGGATCAGTGAGGTTTTGTTATTCATTGATTGATTTTTTTTTTATTCACCATTTTATCTAATATTTTTTTTGTCGACAAAATGATGCAATATGATAGCAATTGAAAATTTTATCTTTGATCAATCCATTCGTTAATTTTCGCTATTAATTCTTATGAAATTTTTAATTTCATTTCCCTCTATAAATCTAACAAGACTTTTTCTACTCTTCAAAACTATCAGTAAAAAAAAATTCTTACCATTCTTGATAAATCCGCCGTAACAGGAACCTGTTGGTCAGGAATGCTCATCATCTCGATAATCACCCACAATAATCACTCAAAAAATTCTCCACCCACATTCACACAATATCGTCTCCTCAACCCTCTAGATCCAAATTTATACTCATCCCCGAAAAAAAAAAATTCTCTCCGTTAATTCCAAAAAATATGTACTATCCCGAGATGAACCTCAAGGCTCGAGTGACTTGATCTGTTCTGAGGGTGAGAAAACAAAAAGTTTTCCAGTCACCGGGAAAATGCTAGGGGGTGTGCACTCGTATCCCGGGGAAGACTTTGGTACCGCCTACTCTGTAACACCCCCCGCGAGCATTCACTCGTATTCACCACTTTATCAGCTGTACTCTGATTCCACGGTATCACCCCCCCCCCCCCCCCCCCCCCCCCCCCC